TGCAATTCATCCATGCCGATTATAATCCACCAGGCTGTTTACTGTGGCCCGCATTATGTGAACAGACTTTTCAATTTTTGAATGTATTTTATAGTCTAAAGTATATATGTTTTGTGATTTTGTGTGTGATTTGGTCCTCTCTTCATCTAAATGTCGGATCTCATTATTGCGCATGTATGACGTCTTGCGCTCTGGTGAACATCTATATTAAGTTCATTTTATTTCTCGCAGAACTTCGCGTTTTGTTCGACGAACTTGACGACGAAAGCCCAATTCAATTATACAAACGAATTTTCAACCCAAATTTTCAATTCATATCATTTGGATTACTATCTTTCGCATCGGCTTTGTTTGTCATCACCGTATTTTTATATTTTCAAATTAATATATTCGTTTTTAAAGTTACTTCTTATAACGTGCTCGTATTGATGTTTCAAAATACACGAAACGATCTACTAAAAAGTTGTTGAAATTCACGCGACATTGGCGCACATTATGCTCATTTAATTAAGAAGTGAAACAATATCATAGTCACTAGAAATAAACAACAAAAGCATCATAATCCAAATATAACACTCAATTTTGATTTTTTTTTGTCTGTTAGCTGAACGTGTGCGCGGATTCTCATGCGTAGTCAAAAATCCTCAAGTGCCCTGTGCAATCCAAGCGTTTAATTCATCGACGTGCGAGTGACGTGCCTTGTCCAGATCAGTTGTTACCAGATATTCTAATAGTATTCGAATATTTTCCCAAGTTCTGCTCAGGAACCATTAATTATTGACTTGATTGATTCCATGCCAATAAACTTGCCTTTTAAAATTATGTAAATTCAAACGTGAATGAGAACTTGGCTGGTATCTGAGTTCGGTACAAATGTTTGCGGCCCACAATGAATTTTTCCATTTGAAGTGACCCTCGATACCAAAACGGTTGGAGAGATACATATGTTCTAAACAGATTTTATCAGCTAATTTACTTGATGTGAAGGCAAACATATAAAATTAAGAGATAACAAATTCGTTACCAGGTTTAACCATACCTTAGCGTAGTCATCAGAAATGTAACACACTCCTCCAAACGAAATAACAACAATTTTCTTTCTTATTCTTCCCCTAAAATTGGCTATTTCCATTTGAGGTATATTAAGAACATTGCATAATTCTGTAAGACGATCAGGAGCTAGATAGAGCCTTCAGAACCGGTTTTGCACCGTTACTGTGGCAAAACACCACGAGCTCAACACATTCATCGCAGTTGCTACCTGAACGTTGCACGCGACTTCAAATTTCCCATATACATCCCAATAGACAATTGGTTGCTTTAGCGCAAGATTCATGGAAACTCTTTGCTTCATTGAGGACGACAGTTATCTTCGAAGAATCAAGAGGCGAGTGGTTATAAATATAGGTGCTGAGGGTGTGTGCTTGATCGTCAGCATTTTTAGATGACGCTCCATATCCGTGAACAAAAACAGCTCTGTGTTTAGGATGTAAATTAATTGTTACGTGACGTGGAGTTTCTTCACTCATATTCTTAACTAGATAATTAAACTGAAATTACTGAACAGCCCAAACATGTGGATAGTTCTAATATTTAAAAGGTCGTAAAAAAAATGATCAACACTTGCCTATCAAAACCCACTTGCCTATCAAAGAAACTCAGACAATTCTACTTGTAATCGTTCTACCATTAGCCTTCATCCAGCTATTACAATGAGCGTGTAGCGAAGCGCTCTTTCCTTCACAAGCATGCAATGCAGCAGTGACAAATTTATTCAACGCGATAAACCGATATCACGTTCAAATGAGTTTCTATGAGCTAGGCCTATAAGTAAGAAGTAATAGCACAATTGTTTTTAAAAGCAAACTTGAGCAAATTTAATTGAACAAAACATCGTGTGCCTTAACATTTAGATGTTTAGTTTTATGTAGAAAGTAGGAATCACTTCCATATATCAGTTTCTCGCTCTTAACGTTCGCTTCAGTAAGCTAGTATAGGCGTAAAAGTAATGGATACAAAACTCAATAAAGGTAAAATGAAATTTTGAAAGAAATATCAGATCTCATAGGATTCAGGGATTCATAGAAAATTTAGGAATAAATGAAAGTGATAGCCTCCTGGAAAAAAAATCAAACTTTAACCACAGAAAATTTCAAAGCAATTAGACCAGTATCCGAAGAGAAAGGCGATATTATAATGATGGTGACGAAGAAGAACAATAACAACAACATAATGTTGAAACGATCGTTATGTCCACTAAAGTGTCCAAAAAGCCCACACCCGTATATGAGACTGTGGTACCTTACTTCTTGTTATATTGATTAAGACCGGCCTTATTACAGATTTTTTATCTCCAAAATATTAGTATAATTTTTTACATAATTATTGATTTGAGAAAATACATGAAGGAGAACTACAACAAAACACAGATCAGTAACACAGAACATGCTAAACAGGGAGTTATTTGGCAAATATTTATGCTAGCAGCATAGACATTCTAATTGCATCTGGGTTACTATAAATGGGAAATGCTTGCAAGAATATGCTTGAAGAAAATAAAATTAACCACAATTAAATTCGAGAAAATAAATCGTTCAACCGACTACGACTGCGAAAAATTTTTTTTCATAAATATTAAAGACGCAAATATTTTGTGGCTAACAGCGTGATTGGCAAACTCGGGCTTTATTATTATCTTAGACTACGTTTAATTTCGTAATTCAGAAAGTCCACATGCGTAAATGCACCCGGCGCTGACGAGCGATAGTTGGTTGACGCTGAATCTCAATCAAACATGGTCGCTGGAGCTAAAGTAAGACGACATTCGGAAAAGATGTGATTCGATTCGTAAATCCAAAAGTGTCATCCCTTTTTACAACCAACTCAATAAATTTTCATTCAAGTGATGTAAATACGAAGCCATTTAATTTTTTTTATACAGGTATGGCCGTGAGTTTTTATGCCGTGTCCTTAGTTCGATCAGCGATCCATTGCGACTGTGTTGATATATTCTTTCATCATTAAGTTTTACGGACGGATATACACGGATTCAACTGTTTGCGGTGTATGAACACAAGCAAAAATATATATATAGTGTCACAATACAACAGTCAAGAATGAAAGCAGATGAAAAATCCCAAACACAATTGGTAGCAGTTCGTACATGCCACATGAAATCACAGAGTATTCAATTTCAAAGTTTTTAATAAAATTTTGTGTTGATGAGTTACTTTGAAGCACATTTTTTAAAGGTCAGCAGTTGTCATTGCAGCATTTTAATTTGATCTCTCACTTAGTCCAAGAACTTCTCTTATATACATGATCATTCCTCTATTCTTCAGAATGTTTTCTAGATAGTGTGGATGTCTTAGTGCATCCGATGTTCCAGATGCTATGTAAGAGAAAAGTGATTACTTCATTTTTTAATATGTAAATAAATACACATAAAAACCAGAATCAATTCGGCTTCATAAAATTTACTTAAACAAACTATTAAAAATTATTATGAGATTTTATAAAAAAGAGACGAATTAGTATTTGCAAAACATTCAACTTTTTTTTAAATATTTTGTAAATTCATGCAAAATTCATTATTTTTGTATTTACGAAACATGTAAATAATTGATTCAATTGAATTCAATAAAACAAAAGTCCAATGCCAGGTTACTTACATTTGGCAGCTAAGTCTACGCCAGCCCCCGAAATACAACCAACTGCGGCGATTGATCCCAATATTCCAGCAGGAACCTTTTTTATTTCAGAGGGTGTTGCAGGATCTCTTACATAAATTTTCCGATCAGTCTCGCCATCTTTCGGTTGATCTCCAACTTTCAGATAATGACAAAATTTGCTGAAATTGTCGCTCGTTGAACAAAAATTCATGACCACCTCAACAGAAGACAACAAGTTTTACGTTTTTTTAAATGTATTTTATACACATAATTGCTGCCTTAAAACCTAAGTGTTTAGGAGATCCATACTGGTTTGCAATTCATCCATGCCGATTATAATTTACCAGGCTGTTTACTGTGGCCCGCACTATGTGAGCAGACTTTTTAATTTTTTAATGTATTTTATAAACTAAACACTAAAGTATAATATATGTTTGTGATTTTGGTGTGATTTGGCCCTCTCTACATCCAAATGTCGGATCTCATTATTGCGCATGTATGACGTGTTGCGCTCTGGTGGACACCGATATTTGGTTCATTTTATTACTCGCAGAACTTCGCGTTTTGTTCTACGAACTTGTAAGATATTGTGCAATCATTGGCGACGAACGCCGAGGACAATTATAGAAATGAATTTTCAACCCAAATTCCAAATTAATATCATTCGTATTACTATCTTTTGCGTCGACTTTGTTGATCCTCATCGTATTGCTACATTTTCAAATTGATATAATCGTTTCTAAAGATACTTCTAGTACCTGTATTGATGTTTTGAAATACACGAAACGGCCTACTAAAAAGTTGTTGAAACTGGCGCACATTATGCTCGTTTGGGAATTGGAACAATATCATAGCCCCTGGAATATTAATAAAAACATCATAACCCAAATATAACTCTTAATTTTGATGTCTCTGTCTATCAGCGGAAGGTGTGTGCAGATTTTCATGCGGTAGTCAAAAATCGCCGAATGCTTTGTGCAATCCGAGCTAACCAAGCTGTTACCAGATATTCAAACAGTAGTCGAATATTTTGCCCTGCCCTACTCAGAAACCAGTAATTATTCACTTGATTGATTCCATGTCAAAAAACTTGCCCTTTAGAATTATGTAAATTCGAACGTGAATCAGAACTTGACTGGTATCTGAGTTTGGTACAGATGTTTGCTGCCCGCAATGAATTTCGTCATGTAAAAGTTACCCGCGACACCGAAAAGATTGAACATATACAGATTTTCTAAACAGATTTTACAATTGAATTACCCTACTCAACTTTATGAGGGGAAAACATAAAAAATATTACATGACAAATTCGTTTGCAGTTTAACATACCTTAGCATAGTCGTCAGAAATGTAACACACTCCTCCAAACGAGATAACAACAATTTTCTTTCTAATACTTCCCATAAAGCTGGCTATTTCCATTTGGGGTATATCCAAAACATTGCATAATTCTGTAAGAAAGTCAGGAGCTAGAGCCTTCTGAACCGGTTTTGCACCATTACTGTGGCAAAACACCACCAGCTCAACACATTCATCACAGTTGCTACCTGAACGTTGCAAGCGACTTCCAATTTCCCATATACAACCTAATAGACAATTGGTTGCTTTAGCGCAAGAATCATGGAAAGTCTTTGCTTTATTAAGCACGACGGTTATCTTCGAAGAATCAAGAGGCGAATGGCTATAAACGTAAGTGCTGAGGGTATGTGCTTGATCTTCAGCATTTTTAGATGACCCTCCATATCCGTGAACAAAAACAGCTCTGTGTTTAGGATGTAAATTAATTGTTACGTGACGTGGATTTTCTTGACTCATATTCTTAACTAGATAATTAAACTGAAATTACTGAACAGCTTAAACATGTGGATGGTCCAAATATTTAAAAGGTCGTAAAAAAAATGATCAACACTGCCTAATCCCACTTGTCTATCAAAGAAACTCAGACAATTCTACTTGTAAACATTCTACCATTAGCCTTAATCCAGCTATTACAATGAGCGCGTAGCGCAGCTCTCCTTACTTCACAAGTATGCAATGCAGCAGTGACAAATTTACTCAACGCGAAAAACCGATGTCACGTTTAAATGAGCTTCTAAAAGCTAGGCACAAAAGTAACAAGTAATAGCACAATTGTTCAAAAGAAAACTTTAACAAATTTAATTGAACAAAACATCGTGTGCCTTAACTAAATACTGATCCTGTGTATGCGTTACTTATGTAAAACATTTAGTTGTTTAGTTTTATGTAGAAAGTAGAACTCACTTCCACATATCAGTTTCTTGCTCTTAACGTTCGCTTCAGTAAGCTCGTATAGGCGTAAAAGTAATGGATACAAAACTCAATAAAGGTAAAATTGCGCCATCGCAAAATAGCGAGCCTATACAGATCTAAATTAATAGGCTTTCAACCTGAACGTCGCAACTCTTTGGAGCGTAACGATATAAATCCAAGTAGACTTTTACAATTCAATAATCCACGCTATCATCTACTTCCCTGTCTTTTAGTGAACGCACAATTGTAACTATTTAAACAAACAGTATTTATTCAGCTAGGCTATATAAAGGCGGAAGTTTGGCAACCAAAGCGTGAAATCAAGAATATTCACGCAATTCATTGAAGGGATAATTACAAAAGTAACTAAAGAAGTAACTAATTAGGTCGCACTACCAAAAGGTAATTTGATATTCGCATCACGTTTTATCAAGTACAATTCACCAAACCTAAGAGTAGTATGTTTAAGCCTATCCACTTTTTATAACAATTACGACTTGGGGAAAGTATTTGAAGAAGAACATCTATAATCGCGTTTGTAAATATCGATTCGATTGCCAGCCAATTATTTTTGATTTTTCGGGGTCGCCGCAAGGTGACTCGCAAACCTTGAGAGCCCAGGCTTCGTAGCAGAAGACAAAAAATGGTAAATTTTAAATTTCACGCGATCTACTAGATGGACACAGATGCCGCGATAGGAGATATCGGCTAGGGTTCCAAATAGCGACTGTCAATAGAGCTACCACACGACAGCGATTCATTTAAAACAGGGACTGCCACAAAAGCGACATCACTTCCTTTATTAAATCCAAGGCTTACGCGCCCACGCATTCTTTCACCAGTTAAGTCGCTATCATAGCAGTCGCTGTTTTAATGCGGTCGCCAATATGTCAGTCGCTCAGTTGATTACGTCGCCATTATGACAGTCGCTATCCGGCGTGGATACCGAGATAACTGACCGATGAATTTGAATATAGTCAGTACAAATACATTCCCGGTATAAATATATACCGTTTTTTACCAAAAACAGGACCAAGCTTAAATTTTAGAAATGAAATTTTATCAGAAGCTCTCCCCTGGAATTATGACCTAGTCAATAGCACAAATTTTTTTCAACCTAGTGGATAGCAAGAAATCCCTCCTACATATTTCAAATGAATAATCTAAACGTGTGAAAGAGGAAGACGTGTTATTTAAGTAAATGGATATCAGTTTTCATATTTTGTATATATATTTGAAAATCTCATAATTTTTTACTTTGTAATATTGTTTTTGATAAAAGAAAATAAAAGACATGCCCCGAAAATAAGCACTCGTGTTATTTTTTGAAAAAAAATTGAAATAAGAGCCAGTATTATTTTTGGGGTAACACGGTGTATGTCTTTTATTTACATCTTTGTGTCGCTAGGTATATTTCATTTTTTATTTTTTTCATTTTTTTTTGCTAATAATATGAAAATCAAGGGTTCAGTGAGCAATGCATCAAATTCTAGGGCGTCTAAAAACTTCCGTGACAGTAAATGGTGGCTATAAAAATTCAGAACAGTCCAAAAATCCACACGGCGTGATTATTCAAAACATCCCATACTAAAACCTATCACGTAAAAGTTGATACACATATTAAAGTTACCGAACACGACTAGTACAACCCAGATCGCCGTCTGCAGTTCTATACCGAATGATGCGTATTTTGAGAACATTCGTAATTGCATGTACTTGGTTGATGGAACCTCCCAGATATTTATAGATCCTGAATTAAATCAGTCTGGCATAACAGTATGGCTGCATCATCAAGTGGAGATGTTTTGGGAGGCATGTTCAAACGTAGAAAACTACCTGGAAATTCTTCGTTCAGTGGTGTTGCCATAACACTAACCGAAACATACGTTGTGTTGAAATATGGTAATAATGTCATTTACTAGAGTTTAACTGTATGCAAGTTTCAAAATTTAGCTATTCAACTATTCGAATCCGAGAAGATAATTGATTTATTTTCAAAAAATTTCAAAATTCGGTATTCTCCATGAATCCTAGGAAAAGTAGGTACTTGTACAAATGACTTAGCTTAGATCCCCTTGAAAAACTGTGTTTGGTTTTGTATGTATATATTGAAATAAATTTTAAATTCCTCAATGTTAAATGTTATACGAAATATTTATATTTAACTAATAGCTCAAATGAAGTTATACTTTAATGGGACTTCATAGTTTAATAGGACGCCAGGAAAATCGAGTATTGAAACTGTTCAATTAAAGACGTTACAGGAAGAGCTGAATTACACATAAAAAATGTAGACACCCTTCTCTGAAAATTTGAATTTTTATTCCAATACAATAATCTGTACCATTTCAAATACAAGCATAACAATAATAAAAAAAATAAACGTGCTGTAAAATCACATATTGTATGGCTATAATAATGTACATTAGTAATTTTACGCAAGGCTGTTCTGGTGCATTAGATTGAAATCCAAACACAATTCATCGTTGATCATAAATTGAAAAAGATGAAAACCTCACAAGGAACCTTTTAAGCTCTAACAAATAGCATAACACGGTAAAAATGCACTGTATTAAGTAACACATAAATTGAGCCTAAGTGATTTTGAAACTGGATTTAAATAGTCACAACTTATCAAAGAAAATGTTAAATTTTAAAAAATTCTTCTGTGCTAAGATGATATTATACCTCATTCACTATTAAAAAATTAGTTATAAGCAAACACACGTTTGAGCCGTAGGGCTTAAGGTTTCAGTATATCGCAGGAAAGATTATTTAGTATTAATCTGTCTTCGACTATTTCAATGAATTAGTTTAAAGCAAACACACATTCGAGGTAACCGTGAGACGCTTCAGGTTTTAGTTATTTCAGGGAAGAATATTTATTATAGACGTGAGCGGGTGTGGCACCAGATATATCAAAATACATAATTCAGATACAATAATGCAGTAATACAAAGATACATAAGAAAATAAAATTGTGAAGCGTGAAGACTATGTTAGTGTCGTAACGATAGTGGAAAAATATATAACATGGTTCAATTATTGAAGATTTAATATTTTGTCTCCATGTTTCTTTATAAACTAAAACCAAAACATATAGTTTTTTTTATCAATTCTTGCGTCGTTCAATAGTTACATATTTGCTCCCATGCACCAACGAAGATTTGTAGTTATTGCACGATGCCCTTTATTCCAACATTTAACTCCAAAAGTTTTAGTTTATATGTTCACGCTATAATGTCGTTTTTCGTCTGCTGAGAAAAATTTGTGCAAAATACTCTTGTGGTCTGGAAGATAAAAATATGGAATATTTGTATTCATAGAATTATATAGTACGAGACAATAAATGAAAGCTAATTGAGAAGGTTGAATTTCCATAAAATCTAACCTATCAATACCAAGGTTTATGAATAATGATAGTTATCAAATAGTATATATAAGGGAGCATTGAAATTGCTTTGATGTAAATTAGAAAATACCTTAATGTAATATATATTAATCTAGACTCGCTGTAGATTGAAATTGTAAATGGTATATTAGTATGAAAATGAAAGACTTATTACCAAAATATTTCCAGTACCTGATGATAACGTGCGCTATATTTACACTGATGTCATGTATTTTTCTTTTACTAAAATCATTTTCATCTCTTCGAGACTTTGAAGAACTTCTGCTCTTGTTTTTTCAATTTTGTTATTACATTCTTCTAACCCTTCTTCCAAATCTCTTCCCTTCCTTTCCATTAATTCTTTTTGCATTCGTTCCATCCTTTCCTCCAGGTCTAATTTTACCTATGCAAAATCGAATATTTCGAATTGAAATATTTTATAGTTAAATAATTGAATTATTTATTTGGTTGAGTCCAGTATCTTGATTCATTTTCTGTTTTAAGAATATTAAATAGGTATAAAATACTGGAACTGAAATATGATTTAGTCTGTATTAACACCAACACCGAATAAAAATAAATATATCAAGTAATTGGTTCAGTGGTTGAAGGGAAAAACGCATTCGTAACAACAACAACATAATAATAATAACAATCCACTTCATGCCAAATCGGAATATACATGAAATATAATTTCACGTACCTGGGTCATAGTTTGTCTAGTTTCACTCAGCTCATCTTGAAGATGTTTAATTAAAGTTTGTGCGTCATCTACTCTTGTTCTTGTGGTCAGAGATTCACGTCGAGCAACTTCTGTCAAGCCATCGTGAGTTTGACCAAGTTGTCCAGTAAGTAATTCCCGTGTCAAAGCTACTGAATCTTTTATTTCCTGTGCAAAAATGCAAAATTCAAATACACCTATTTTTTATAATAAAGACACAATTATTATTAGAAAAATTATATTCTGAAAGAAATACTTCACAAAAGTTTAGTGTGGAACATTGTGTTTTATTGTGCTATCGATTGGGTTTCTATGGGAACTAGCTACTTCGTGATATTCTATGCTTTTGTGCTTGTGGATCCGTATGCTTATAATGCAAAGATGCTGTAGCAAGAGCGAAGATAAGTGATGGAAGGGTCTCGCTTCACACTAACACAAATATATTTCTGTAACGTTTCGTCTAGGCAAAGTCAAACTTCCCCGGTCATATAAATTTTATTGTATATTGTTGTTTTAATTATTTTCATTGCTTTGTTATAAATATATATATATAACTATATTTTTAGCTATCTTTTAACAATTTGAAATACTGTGGAATATTATCTTACCCTAGAAGATGTTTTGTTTTCCATCCTAGCCTCTCTCATTTGCGATCTGATTCCAAATATTCCCATCTTCACTTCAGATTGCTCACCAATTACATCAGTTAAACGATTTCTAAGGCGGCCCAAACCGGTCAAAACTCGATCCAATGAGTCACGCATTTCGTCCTGCTCGCCCTGGAAATTTTAATTACATCAGTTAGACTAATTGCTGATTTTATTTTCTATTAGATTTTATTATTTATACATTTGGTTTTGAAATGTTGCTCAATAGCGATTGTATATGTGACAAGTATCACTGCATAAAAATATATCAATATCGTTGCATATTCTCGAATCCGCAATATTTTACAAAATATTTTTTTAAATGTGAGTCGCTTCAAAAAGGCTGAAAACCACTGATTTAGACCGACTAATAATTCGTATTTTTTTTTAAACGTAATGATTAAATAGTTAACTAAAAAATTGATAAATATGCAAAATAAAAAAATCATAAAAATTTTAATATTAAATCAAACATAAATATGAGTAATTAAAACAATGTTGAGTTACGTCTATTGAAATTCTATTATTCCTCAAAGTCTAAGAAGCTTCATTCCTAGTGCCACGTTGGAAGCAAAAAAATCCGTGAAACGTTAGTATGAACCATTATTTTTCATGAATTCCATTCAAATTTTTGATTCGGAAACAGGAAATCATATCAAACAATTAAAGTGTATTATAATTCGACTGATTTTGATATCATTTAATATGATTTTTTTTCAAGTCTTACTTTTGCATCTTTATAGTCCCTATGCCTCCCCTAAAGATAAAGAAATCAGACGGAATTTGATAGGAATCCATGACAAGTTTATTATCAATTATTATTAGCTATATAATACATGTCAGTGTATAAGCATTTTCAAATAATCATATTCTGATGAATAGGACAAAATAGGTAATAAAATTAATTAAAAGTGCCATAATACCTTTTCTCTGTTTAATGATTTAGTGATGTTTTCTACTGTCAATGCAGAATCTTCCAGGAAGAATTTCTTTATGGCATTTGCTTTCCTGTATTTATTGACTTCAATAGTTTGTTTCCGAAGACAGACTCTCTTACGAAGAAACTCGGGAAGTGTGAATTCGACATCCAACGCTAGATCGACCTAAATAAATTTACAAATTTCGCTCATAAAGTTTAATATTCTGCTTCAAAAATATAACATTATATATAAAGAATGAATACTACCTTTTCTAGGTTGCATAATATAATGTTTTGCCACCTCACCCAGATTTTAAAAATTGAGTAGCCAATGCTTTTCGAACTATAGTGACTCTAATACTACCGGTGGCTGCTTGTGCAATCCTTTGCTTGGAGCGATAGGTGTGATATGATACGTTATATAAAAACTTAATAATTTATAACAGTACAATCAGTAAGTATTAATACTGTTACAGCTTCTGTTCTCTGCTGAACGAAGCTCTACTAAGCACACTCTCTTTCGAATTTAGATTGATCACAACAGCTTTTATATTTTTAGTTGGATTCATTTTTGAAATAAATTTTTGAGACAATATCTCACCGTCATTCCTAATCGTTCAAGTGTAGCATGCTCTTGAACTTCAATGATGTCGCCAACAGCAAGACCGACCTAGTAGGCAAAGAAAAATATATGTGATTGAAACTAATTAAATTCGTCCACGGTCAATTCAACAAAGTAGTTAAAAATATAGAACTATACATAAAGCTATGAGACTTTTTAATTTTCCGCATAAAACATATTAGATTTATTTGAGAAATGTAAAATTTGGGAATAAATTGTAAAACAAAAATATTTTTTTGGTCGTTCATTTCTTTTAAAAATAATCTGAACACGCATTAGGTTTCGATATAGTCTACACAAAATTATCCCAGAATTACTATAAGCTGTAGATTAATTGCATGACCTGTGGATTAATAAGCTGTTACTATTGGCGTGTATAATATAAAATGTCGTCAAAACTGAATTATTTAAATCAAATAATACTTACCAACAAGTTCATGATGATAATGGTCATGACAATCAAGAATATTGAGAACAGAACGTAACTGACACTGTTCGTATAAATATTTTGAAAATATGTTGACCCCTCGTCTTTATAGGAAAAAAATATGTCACCATAATCCAATTCGCCAATCATCATTACGGTTGTTTTGATTATTGAATCGTACCAAGTAGCAAACACGTACTAAAAGTAACAATTGAATACAGTCATCAGTGCCTTGAGCTTACTGCCAGTAAAATTTTAAGTTCTGTTTCGAGAAATTAAAACAAAACTCAGTTAACACTTGATAAAAGTATTCAGACGTGACAAAAATGTGTTTTGAAGGCTATTTTTCCGTTAGAATGACTTGAAAAAATAAAAGGTACCTGGTTTCCAAGCAATATATTGAAGGCAAATGCAAATCCAAATATGAAGAATACGAATACAAAGAAGAATTGTGCGAAGGTTTTGAGAATGTCGGTGAACATAACAACAAAAATACCGAGGTAGGGAATTTTCTGAATGAAAAGGAGCAAACCCATCCACGCTAAAAATATAGCGAATGCCCCGATTTCACTTTGCCACTCCTGCAAAATAGAAAACATTTCTCTAATAAGTGATGTAAGTACACTATTAAATGTTCGTTGTTTGGGATGGTGAATTTAACGTTTCGAATCGTATTTATGCTCCATGATTGTTTGGATGGAAACGATGGGCAATATGCTAATAATATCTGAAAATGTATCTATTTCCAAATATGCTTCATTTTCCTAATCCTAAACAGATAAAAAAACAATATATCATTTTTCAGGTGTGTTACCGCACGAGCAACAACCTATATATATGGATTTGCTACCTATGGGAGGAAAATCAGGTTCGGCATTGACTATACATATTGTTACACTCTGGATGAGTCTGTGGCATAAGATTGGAATCAAAGATCTTCAAACTGCAACGCCAACAATATTATAGGCAACGTCTTACCCACCGGTCAATACACCCGATTACGAGAAACTGAATTAATGAAATTAAACAATACCTGTCTTAATCCTGTGTCATCTTGCAAATTAATTAGAACATCGGAACTATTGTTCACAAGATCTAGATTTTCCGTCTTGTTCTCGTCGGGGAGAGTGACTGGGTCAACATAGTATCCAGGATAATTTAAAGTCAGAATCAAACTGAGAACGTACAATGAAATTTCCACAAAGTTTGTGAATTCAGACACATAACGAAGACGCTGATTGAATAACTGAAAGAACTGAAAAATAAAATAAAAAATAGAAATAGTTGTTGTTATTGTAACTTATATAACTCTATACTGTAACTCTATACTTTCAAAGTGTAAATATTTGTTATTTTTGAACTATACTGTGTAAATCATCATTTTCTCGTAATCAGTGCTTGTGATATTTTTTTTTACTGGTGGGAAAAGATAAACTAATCTTGATCTGACTATTTCGATTGGCGCATAGATTTGATTGCTTATTCAATTACAGGTATGAACACAGGGACAATACTTAAAAGTTTTCATCTTTTTATAAAATTGCACAAATTAACGTAAAAAGTACCGGTTTACTATTTATTCATAACATATTTTGACTGCCAAACTGTGTTATTTTTTAATATTCACGTTTTAGTATTTTTATAGCCTAAATATGACAACAAAAATAATAGAAATACACTGAATATAAATATTACTTAAATTATTGGGTAAACATTGGCGTTGAACTCACCTCTCTCAGTAGATTGAAAGCAGAAAACGCAAATATTGTCCATTTGATCCCATCGTATGTTGCCGGGACAGTTTGACATCCAGCAGCGTAAGCTGACTCTTCGAGTGACGTTAACTCTATTCGATAGTAATAGCAGGACAAGGTTTGCCTGCAAAAAAGTAAACAGTTTTGAGCAAAAGGTGTTTGATTGGATTTTGAAGAAATTTGTTTTTTCCAACTTTTAACAAATATTTTCTTGGCAAAAATCAAAAAGTATTACTTACTCATCTGGAACTAGTCCCCGATTTATGAGAGCTGCAAAATTATAAATTGAAGTATGAGCAGAGCATTTACAGATTTGACAATTATTAAATCCAACTTTCACAGTTATCGTTAACTTACAAATTAAATTTAATTACAGTATAAAAATCTGAAAAATCTGAGAAGTCAATTCACAGTTCTCAGAGTTGGACTGAAAATTTTCGATGGAAACTAAAAGAGAAGGTAGTTTCTACAGCGTCCTCAACAGACAAATAATGTATGAGAGAATTTTATAATTCTAATTGACGCCCAACTCAGTGATCCAAAGATTTTTAGCTCGCTTTATTCTAATAATAACTCATAATTACTTATTTTAAATTAATTTTGCAATGCAATGCATTTGAAACGTTATGCTTTATAAATTTTTTTCTTCAAAAATACCTGCTGCTGCGGTTGAATCATTGTTGTAAATATATTGTCTGCTGTATATAACGAGTATCCAATCAATTTGGTAGGGACGTGGCAACGTCATCATGTAAATATTCAAAATAAGCAAATAAATGATAAACAATGTAAGATTTGTGTAGTAAACGTAACGGCCAAAACTTCTCCATTTGTAGTTCAGAAGTCCAGTAACAACTGGATGAAGTAACAATTCTTCTCGTTTAGCTGAAACCTGAAATAATGTTTTATTGTCAATATATATATATATATATATACTATTAAGATATTTTCATTATATTGTAAACTGTGGAATGGACGAGTTGTATTTGATTATTTTCCATTCGTCTGCTCTTCTATTGAAGTGAAATGAAGTGAAATTGAAGTGAAAACCATATTAAACATGTTCATTTAGTTCGGCACTTCAGAAAAAAAAAGAATAAAAATTGTAAAGATCAAACCTAAATAAATAGTGAAAGATCCAACTTATCGAGTAAGCAAATAATACAAATTTTGGAAATAAATCTGTACGTTGAAGGCCGAGACAATACCAAAATTTGGTATAAAAATTGACATCGTTTGCATTGTGACCTTACCATAATTTTCAGCGGGTGGTTTTTCTGCAGTTCATCTGAATCCTGACTGTAAGTTCTTGCTTCATTAGTTAGATGACCATTATCGTCATAAACCTAAGACACATACATGTTTTACAAAACATTTTACGTAAGTATTACCGAATAGCAAGCAAATAGCACACATAATTTGTTTTAAATTAGACTTTTAGAATGCTATATCAATTTATCAATCATAAACTTCATGTTTTTCAGTGGCAATGTTAAAATAAGTAAAATATGGTAAATAAATTATCTGTTGTAAAATTACTGTGAGTGTTTATTTTTATTTAAATTTTACTGCATTTTCATATACTTGATGATGGATGTAATACGTAATTTGATATAAATATATAGCATGGAATTTGTTGAATTTTGTATGCATTTTTAAACAATAGTGATGATTTTTTGAGCATTCAGGTTAATAAAAATTGTTTGCTAGATCATTCATAATTTAAATCAATTTATTAATTATTTTTCTCAATTGCAATTTTAAAAATTTTTCAATCATGAAAACTGCATTATACGTTAGGATAACCTTATTTTTATAATTCTTTCCAAATTTCTCCGAGTATATTTCGAGAAAGTTCTTCGAAGAATGTTAGGAAAAACTATATTGTTGACATTATCGGTATAACTATAATTTTGAACATGCATTAGTATGTATTCATCTATACAGCAGTTAAATTTCAAGCTTCAATACATAACATATCAACGTAGATGCTTTGTTTGGTAAATGTTACAATATTTGAAATCTAATTAATGCAAAAAAAATTGAAGCAGCTGTTTTGAAATATGCAGAAGTAACAAGTTAAATAAATTCACTATTGAAAGGATCAGTGAAAAAGTGGAAGAAACAAAAGAACAATGCTCGAATATATGGACACGGAGGGAAAAACGAGACCAAATTTTTTGTAGTTGATCACTGAAATACGATCACGAAACCAGGCGCGGTGCGCAAATTTCAATGTTGGTAACGTCAGCACACAAAAGTTCGAAATGAAATATATAAAAGTAATAGCCTTCTAGTGACAACAACACGATTCAACCACTAAAAACAAAGCAATTGGTCCAATGGTTAAAGAGAAGAGCAATTTTTTCACAACAAAACATAATAACAAAACGATTCATAGGTTCATTTCGTGTCCAATAACTGTAGTATAGAATAAGAAGATCAAGGGCTAAAAATTTGGAGGAGGTTGGTTAAATATGAACTAATCCCGAAATCCAAAGGTAAAAAACAAAGAAGAAAGAGTAGGAAGGAAATAAAAGAGATGAGAAGAAGAACAAGGAAATAAAAGACGAAGTGATAAGCAGACCAAATAAAGAGCAAAAAAAATTAAAAAAATATTAGTGGGATATGCGAAAAATAAGGAGGAAGGAGAATTGTGAGAAAGAGAGAAAGAAAAAAGATGAAGACGAGAGAAAAAAACTAGAAGTTGAAAATTAGATTTAGGATAAGATTAGTCAATGAGATATAGTGAAGAGTATAACTGACTGATTAAACAATAAAACGATAATACGAAAAGATAAAAATTAGAAGAATAGATAGTAGAAGCGGGTATAAGGGTAAGGAAGAAAAAAAGTTGAAAAATATAGAGAGAATGTCAAACTGTTATAGAACACATTATAACAAATGTTGTAAATAATAAATAGTTATGTCGTTAGCCATAGCGTTATATTTCTAGTTATGACACAACGGCTGAAGCATAAAAATGATGACACGTGAACTTACGTCTTTGTCTTTTAGTGATGGTTTGACTATAACTGTAGGATTCTTTTAGAAAGCAATGAGATAAGCGTTGCAATTATAAAAACATGTTCAAATATTACAAAACAAGCATTTGAGCCAATGTGAAATTGTCTGCTGTATGAATTACTATATACCAGTTTTAAATTTTATATTTATCTTTCACCAATAATGCAAAATTAAGATTGCTTATAGTATACCATTAAAAGTTTCTCCAATTATGATATAAAAAGTGCAGATTATGAAGCAACACCAAATAGAATGATTTGCAAAATAAATCGCCAATTGCAAATATCGTTTTGCCCCTGATATACATGATTTACTTACCGCGTACATAGCGTCATCGCCCGCTGTATCATATGATTCCTTGCGATTTGGTTCAATCAATGCGTAGTCATTCCATGCAGAGCTGGCGTACATGTCGTCAAGAAACTCGTATAAGAGAGTAATCTATAAAAACAGGTATATTTATGAAACATTTGAAGAGCCATCAAACAATGACGATATAGATATTTATAACACAGAGCATTTTTGTAGGTATTTATTTGGCAATAAATTTTAATGAAGTTCGCACGCATTCACTCCAGAAAAGAGAAAAGGCTCAGTGCAAACTTCCACTGATACACAAGGAGTCACTATCTTGAAAAAACTGGTACTATCCGGTTAATATCGCCTAACTGCTTAATTATAACCGGGGTGAGCTCTTGAGCACGGCACTAAAAACCAAGATTCTCAGACAAGTACGAACCTAACCTAACCACTAGACCAGCAGTTCTTAGCCTGGGGTAAATTTACCCCTGAGGGTAAATTTCGTCATTCTTAGGGCTAAATTTTGTTATTGTGAAAAAAAGTTAGAATGGACAAAAATCGCATCTATTTGCTCGTTTTGTTACGAGTAACATTGTTGATTGGTAGGGTAACTTGCGAGAAATATGTATTAGCCTATTATTGGATAGGCTGATGTGTATTAGCCTATTATTAGACCATTTCGCCTCATAACAATGAAAGCCGATCCAGAATTATATTACCAACATGGTGATAACTAACTTTGTTCGCCTACATTACATCAAGTTGTGTAACGGGACTGAAACCCATGGACCCATGGGGGTATAGGTAATTACTTAGCTAACATAGACATTCCTCGAACACGTAATATAACTAAAATAAGGAAATCGGAATAAAATTATAGCCTAACCCTAACATGTTACACATACTACAGGAGTATCCAATAAAGTACTATCTTCTAAATAGCCTGTAAACAACTTGAAATGTGCGTACTGTATAGTTGTCGTCTTCGGGTTTCTTTCCATTATCTGTGATACACTGGTTGTAAACAATTTCAGCCAAATCAGGCATTTTCTTAATCAATTTCCGCATTGGTGTGCTCATACGCCCTGCATAGTAAACAAATTACCGATCAGGATTTTATCTCAACGAATGAAATAAATTTCTTGTATATTGTAGAAGTTACTTAAAAAAAATTTAATTTTGAAATTATTCGTTTTGGGTAGATTTGGTAATATCGTCTTGTTTTATGTCTCTGATCAATACAATAGTTGATCAACATAGGATGTTCACAAATTAATTGTCAGAAGCTTTTCAAATCTCAGATACTCACCGTTCACTGGGTTCACAACCGAATTTCTCAAAGAATCTTTCCAAGTCGAGTGCTTCAGTAGAGCAACGACACAATCTTTTTGATTTGAATCAATAGCAAAGTCAAGAGCATTTCTCCCGTCAGCTGATCGGAAAGTGACGTCAGCTCTCCAGTTGAGTAGAAGATTGACCATTTCTAAATGACCATTTTTGGCAGATAGATGAAGTGGAGACACCTACATTATTAATATAAATTAGGATTAACAAGTAAAAAATATATCTCACTTCATGAATGTTTCAATTCCAAATACAAACTTTGTAATAACAGTATATGGAAGAGTACAATACTATGGTTGAATTACAGTTGAGACAAGTTAATTAATCATTTATACAAGAATGTAGTTGTCGCATTTTTGAGTAAATTTCAAAATAGTAACAACCTAACATGGAATGAAAGTTTATTGATTTATTAATTAAATGTTGCATATTAACGCAGTTTATACCATTAGAAAATTTTGAGAATCTTAAAAAAAGGATCGAAGTTTTAATCAATTCGCGGGGTTGAGCAATTTAAATATTAATTGTTAATTAATGCGTTGTCAAAAGCAAATGATTTGGCAATGTTAATAAATGTATGGCGGATAAAAACGTTAACTCATTTAGTAATCGTGCGAACCGCAAAATGATAACAATGCTGGAAAAGAGCAAGATATAGTTTTCATTTAAAAATAATCTTATTATAAAGTTAATGATGAGCCATTCAATATAAAATTGTTGTTGTTAGTTTAACATAAATTCACCTTATTTGAAATATCGATATGGATATATACCCTTGAGATAGCTAATACAATATCATAACTGTTATTGTCAGTTTTATGCAGCTCAAATCAATTTTAGACATCGGTTTATCTCCGTGTCATCTGATACCAAAGTTAATATACCAAAACCGAATGAACAAACAAAAACAACGCAAAAAGAAATAAAAATTTCATGCAGTTCATCCGACATGCAATGAACAGAACAAAATACTGACACGTAAATATGACGTCATATAACATACACACCGCGTTTTTCTGTGAAAGAAAATATCAAATGAACATAAAGTAAACTTCAAAATGAAAATGAAATGTGGAAAAACCAACTTATGAAACTATACATGTTTTGAAATGCAAACCGTTATTTCAAAACAAATTTCATCGATTCTGATTTACCTTGAGAAGTTTTTTATAACTCTTTACATGTGAAAATAAATTTTATAATTTTATTTCAACAATTTAAAAATGAACAGTTTAAAAAATATAAGTAATTCATATCTTTACAGAATTTGTAGAAATTAGAATTCTTTTGTAAAAATTATCTGTGATTAATTTGCATCACCAGTGCTTTCTTGAGTTACATCGTCAACACCTCCAGCTACCCTGATGTATCACCACGAGCATATAAATCAGGCTATTGAATGCGTGGCGCTCCGGTAGTATGTGTACCAATATGGTAGTAACTAGTTTTGTTCGCCTACTTTACATCAAGTTGTGTAAAGGCACTGAAATCTATGGACAAGTGGTATATTCACTTTGCTAAAGCAGACAGTCCCCAAACTAGTAATGGAACTAAAATAATAAAAATCGGAACAAAATTATTGTCTAACCCTAACCTAGTACACACACTGCGGGAGTACCGAATGTGTTAATATGAAACTAACTATACGCGCAGATAAGCATTAACTAAATAGGTGTAAAACACTGTGATCGCTCACCCTAATTTTCCCTCTTGGTTGTACTGCCGCCCCTGCTTCAAGAAGAGCACGAGCAGGCTTTTCCCATCCATAGGCTGCAGCACTGTCTAGAGGAGTCCACTGTTTAGCATTCCTCATCTCAATATTTGCACCTAGTTGAATAAGGCTAAAAAAAAATATAAGGATGTAAATGAAATAATCCTAATTATTGTTTTAAAATTTGATGGTTAAGCTTTATTGTGTTAATTGTTGGTCCAAAGATTTTCAAAGTTAGTAAAGTTATTTTACAAGATGAATAAATTTTTTTCAGATGTGAAACGTCGGCATAAAAATGTCTGGCTTGCTTTGTTGTAATATTTTTTTAATGTCATGATATAAACATTTCAAGACGCTTTTCCAAATAAAAGGTGTCAAAGTAAATAAATTTAAATTATAAAGAATAACAAAATATTCTCTTTTTAACAATTGCAGAAAATGAGATAAAGGTGAGGATAATATAGCGTGACTCTTTGTGGAAACTAATGTATAAATACGTGTGTCCGTGTGTCCACGATATCCATTTAATTAAAAGAGTCCCAAGCATTGTCTGATCTATCCAGGATTACTAGAAAATTTCTCATATACAATAACCGCTAATTCTTTGCCATATTTATACCATGCTGGCACGAATTCAAGGTTTACTTTTTTAATTAACGAGTAACACTGAATTCGGATTATATCCACAAATGTGTAAGCTCAAAATTTTTTAGAACGGATATGAGTATTAAAAAAGGGATTAGCTCGTGAACATTCCGAGAACTCCAGTTATATTTAATTAAATACTGAACATTAATAAAGTGACCATTCCTAAATAATGATAGTGACTTAGTACTGTAATGGGATACGTAATTCATTCATTCTATTTGGTATCAAAAAAATAACAATTCAGGTATTTATTGCTTTATATTATACTTGAATTGAAGATTCTAGTACTTAATTATATCTAGTAAGGTCTCAGGAGAATTGAACGTTCAATATATATATATAATTGAGTGTGTCTGATAAAACATCTCACATTTCAACACATTTTAGATTTCCACCCATAGCTGCAAGATGTAGAGCCGCATTTGCATCTTCGTCTCCTGCGTTCAATATAGTTCTATCTCTTGCGATCAACTCGGGTATAATTAAATCATTTCCATTCAAAGCAGCCATATGCAAAGTAGTTCGATCATCGTCGTTTTTTATGTCTGCAGGCGCTTTGTATTGAAGAAGAAACTAAAAATAAAAATTCGATTCGATCGTAAAAGTTCGATCACATGTCAATGGAAGGAAGGAAAGTAAAAGAGGGTATATATTTATATACCATGGCGAACAAAATGAAAATTTTTACAAGGTCACGATAAGTTTTAATAAAAATATGGAAATATTAATAACAACGTGAGAAAGACACAATTTTTCAAAAGTCTCAGCCAAAATAAATAAAGTTTTCCTATTCACTCATACGTTATCTATATTGTCTACAATCAACATTTCACGTATTAAGATACTTAGCAATCAATATGTTACTGAATTGCCTGTGCATTTTGCTGCTATACCATACCACCAGCATATGTAATATATATTTGGAGATTGAAAAGGGAGTGCCATGTTTATTATTTTATGAGTCATCATTTGGTCCAATTCTTTATATCGATATCAATTATCTGAAAACGTTAGTAATAAGTAACATTTAACTATAGTTACCTTCACAGCGTTCACGTGTCCTTTAGATGAGGCCATGTGCAAAGCTGTGTTGTTGTACCTGTCTCTTTCTTCAATTAGGGCCCGACCTTTTGGGCTTTGTAGGAGAATCTGAAAGTTTCAATATTATAAAATGTTTCTTTACGTTATTGCTTTAATGAATTTTTGATTTTCAATGGGAGGGTCTAGAAATTTCAGGACCAGCAAAAAATAACAAAGAGCTTTGCAAATCGGTCATAAATCGATTTCATGGACACCTTATGAGGAAATTCTTGCCTAGCTATATTTATATTAACAGTAAAGTTTAATAATAAAAATGGAAGCTTCTATTGTATAACTGAGTAAAAAGGGTATATCTTCTGCAAGGGATAACTATTCCGGTACATTTTACAATGAATTAAAATTTCCTTTCCAAAAACTATTATTAGTGATGTCAAAATTATGCATAAGCAGTATGTTGATAGTGGCACACACAAATTTGCCGAATTCGAAGAAATTACTCGGAGTTTAGACTCACAGATAGCGCATCAGTTCGGTCTTCTTCAGCCGCCCAGATAATGCAAGTTTTATCGTCTTTATCGGTCTCTGTTATATCTGCATGATGGTCTAACAAATGGGTGATAGTTTCTAGATGGCCATGTTTTGATGCGACAAGTAATGGAGTGAAGAAATCATTATCTTTCATATCCACGTTCGCACCGCTGAAAAATAAAATTGAGTATAAATATTGTGAAATGAGTCTGACACCAAAACTGTTTAGTTATTTTTTAGTTGTACGATGCTTTTTAGCCACAGGAACCAGGAGGTCTAAACCTTTGACGTTCATAAAAACTTATGGAAATTGAATAGAAATGTTAAAGTTTGCAAATAAGTTTAGTGGATAAGAAGAATAGTGAAAGATAAACTTTACAACAATTTAGAGATAACATGAAACAGCCATTTTTCGACTAACGTGTACGTACGACAGGAAATTGTAATCGCTTTCATGTCAAGCGTGGCGTTAAATTTGAGTTATTTATATATATTTCATTTTTAGTTTTTTTTCCAAGACTTGTGTTGTTATTACTTACTGTTCAAGGAGATATTTCACGATAGTATGAGCATTGTATTGCGCTGCCACAAAGAGTGGACTTGCCATGGATGAATTCTTCGCGTTGACATCTGCTCCGTGTCTCATTAGTAATTGCACAATGTCAATATTATTCGATAAAACAGCCAGGTGGAGGCAGGTTTCTTCACGCGATCTACGAATTTCCACCATAGGACCGAGTCCTGAAACATAGCAGAAAAATATTTACTTTGCTTGAATTCATTTAAATACCTATTGGAGGTAGAAAAATAAAGGTACATTTTGTGCATAGATGTTTGCCAGATGACGTACTTTTTAGGGAAATTCAACCATTTTGATGAGTTTATTAAAACAAAAACTTCATGTTATAATAACAATTCATTTTATTAGAAATGGAGATTATTATTATAGTAGTATATCGAGCCGTATTTTAATGTTATGAAGGTCTTATTACCTGCCCCAATAGACTTTTCAATACAGAATTCTACAAGATCAAGATGACCATTTTCAATAGCGAGATGCAAAGGAAGATTTTTTTCTCCATCCGTGTCTCGTAGTAGGTCACCTATTCCAGCTATCAAAAATAAAAAGTTGAATTGAGTTGTTTCTACTGCAGCACTTACTTTTTCTTTATATCTCATCATTATTGTTGTCCTTTATGCTGTAATCGTTGATTATCGTGATTGCTATTAGATCAGGGGCGGGCAAGGTTTTTGGATCAGGAGCAAAAAATGTTGCCCACCTATAGACTGGCGAGCCATGTGAGTGTGATTTAAAAAGTTTTATTTTATGAACAATATTCACAGTATTACAAAATCAACAGTAAGCAAAAACAGTAAGAGAAAACAATAAGGCTCGTGCAAAAAAATTAATTTATTTGCAATCTCAACAAATTCCTTGAAATATTTTTCAGCTAAAACATCAAATTTTGGTTTTAGTTCTGTTAAGCATCAGTTGCAGCATCAGACGGGCCAGATTGAATTACCCATCGGACAGAATTTAATTTGGTCAGTGAGCCATAATTTGCCCATGCTAGTTTTACAGGCTGCATTTGATATCAGCTATTTTTATCGAAGAAAGGTGAGGGGTTAAAGTCTTTGTCGCATGTTGTTTTGGTTAAGATAGTTAGTTACTTTTAGTTTACTTTTGATTAATATAAATCAATTTTCACAACCATATATCATATCCCAGCAAGGACTGTTTGCACTTTCATATGTTTAGCACACATATAAGGTTTACCTGGTTCAATTGATGCATATGTTGAATCTTTTGGTCTGTTATTTTCCTCGTTGGCTCTAGATCTTTCACTTGCTTTTTCCAGTAATAACTCCGCGATCTAAAAATCATGTTACTGGGTATAAATACGTTGCATGAAATCGAACATGTTATGTCGTCCCAAACAATAGTTCACAGGTTACGGCTTCCTTCGCCATCAGATTCATGCATTTGCAACAAATAACTGGCTAACTTTTATCCATACACGACATTTACTGGTACCCGAACGAAAACCCGTGGTTCGTCATATATTAAAGCCATTTTATCGGCTTTTCTTTCCTACGTGATAAATATGTAACTCTATTCCATTCCAATATTGTCTTTTGACTAGAAACTAGAAGTTGAATAGAAGCCGATTTCGAAGAATTGGCACGATAGCGGATATGTGTGTCTCGCCTAAATGACAATAACCTCGTATGTTTGGTTAAGTATGTGTGCAATTGTTAAACATTACACTGGAACCAAAGTGAGTTCGGAGGCTAAAGAATACCCCCTCCCCTAACCCACCTAATCCGATAATACCAGTTGATCCTTCATTTGACCTGGACTAAATATTTGGTAGGGTTAGGGTTAGATGGTCTTAGTTGGGGTGGAGATTCTACAGATGGTCTAACCTGGCGTGGAGACTCCTCAATTGGGTACCCCGGAAGGGGGTAGGGGGGGGGGGGGATTCTTCAGTTGATTCGATCAAAGTGTTCTCTAGAAGTAGGCCAATAAAAAAGCACCGTCACGTGACGTGACATGTGTGGGGTGACTGCGGTTTCGACAAAATGACTTGAGACGTTAAGAATCTATAGCCCTACAGGTTTATTATCGGTCCCATATGAGGAGGCGTAAAATATTGCCTAATTTGTTACAAGTTATGTGAGAATTTGTATGCTTGATAGTGAAATAGGGTTCATTTTAGTCCAGTACATACCAGGGGGAATAATCGATTATGGAATACAATATTATGCTATCTATGTTTTTATGAAAGAATTGAAATTTTATGTTAGGTTCAGACTCGTTTGATCTTTATGAAGTTAATGTAATTAACAAATTTACGGTTAGAGCATGAGTGAATTTGCTTTATTTATTCCCAAGTATCCAAGTTGCCAGCGCGACCCCGAGCTCTTCACTAAAATCCAAGTGGTACTGATGGAAGAGTTGCAATCACGATTTAATCAAAATAACATACAAAGCTTGGAGAGAAGTTACAGTTTTTATTTTTTTATTTAAAAACAGTTCAAAAATGACGAACAAATTCTACTTTGAGTGATTCTTTTAGCGCGTATTCGTTGGAATGTGACAGTCATCATAGCAAATTTAATTCCTCTATGTAATAGTATATTACATAAAGCTCATAAAATACGTCGAATTTTCTTATAATACGCAAAATATTGTCAAGACGGTTATCGTCTCAAACGTTGGTATTTTCAACATGACATCAATCACTTCTCCGATCTGTCAACTCCCATTTGGTAAACAAGGTCCTAACTTTAAATGGTGCGTATCACCTATTGTTACAACTCACGTATGTTTACCTACAGCATACATAACCAGTAAGGGAAAATTATTTATTATTAAATTTTGCTATTTCATGCCTTGTATGCTTAACACCGTTTTTCTGCGCATATCCAGCTATGGGTAGATAAGCCAAGCTATACCTATACAATAAACAACAATTATGGGAAAAGGGACAGTAATATAAAACGAGACATAGTACATGGTTAACTCGACCTAAAGATTATTGTCAAGAGGGAGATGAGATTCAACATTTGGGTAGAATTTCTATTATTTCAAGGATAATCAAATTCATCGCAAGTTTTGACTTTGAAGACGAGAATATATCAATTTTATCATACTGATCCTTGCATCACAACATCAGCTACGTGAAGTGTTCAATCCAAGTTTACAAAAACGTACCAGGTAGCTGTGATTGGGCTTTATTAATGCCCTCATATATGCAAACCCCTGAAACATTGTTTTTATTCAAATCTATATCAAATAGTAAACCAAACGAGACATTGGGTCTATCACATGTATAGAACTTAAACGGCAATATATGGTTATACCCATAATCGCAGTTATTCAATTGGATATATATATATATATAAATATTCACGCATTGCCAATATATCAAGCAATTTCATTAATTTGATTCAATTCATATTATCTTTTTAATGAAGCACAGTAGCCAGGGTTCGTGATTAATATATGAATCGATAGTTTCCGTTAGATTGAATTAAAATGTCTTATAAGATTATTGATTAGCAAATTAGAATCGATATCGCACGTTTAGAATCTCGTGAAAAGTTCAAATCTGAGTGAAATATGTAACAAGATAAAATCCGGGTCTTATTTGCTTTTAATAGCGATTTGACGTCATAGCTGTTTAACGCCCGTTCAAATACTTCGTGGAAATATTTTTACCGTGTGTGATTTGAAAAAGGCGTTTACCGTACGTTTTACTAGTAACAACATGATCTGCACCCCACGGCAAATCGAATCGTGGTAGTTAAATTGTAGTAACTGAACAATATCAGTTAATTTAAATTGTTTTTTTTATTAAGCAGTCTGGTCCGGTCTTGTTTTTTTGGGAACACAAGATATATAGACAGCAATAAAAATTAATGGAGTAGTTATTCGGTTTTATTACCATTTTCGTGGGTTTGTTAGCAAATCGCGAAACAGCGAAACGTGGCGATATCGGCGATCATGAGAATGTCGGTGTTTTATAGTGTTTGAATTGACCATTAGTGAGTTTATGGGGTATGATGAAATGAAGTTACAAATTTTAAAATGACCACCAAAGTAGAAGGGATAGGAGAGTCTTAATCAAGAGTAATATCCACAGCGAAATTATTTGACTGAAAAATGTGTTTTTGGTATCACCTGATCTGAATGAATTCATCAAATGTTGGGGACATCGTGAGTTTTCAAAAGAAAACACTCATTTACTGAATATCATGCACTAGTCAATACCCAATAGTTTGTAGCAAAGACTGGGCTGGTATTGTTGTTACCAATCTATGGTTTCCTTAATTTGGCGCAATGTAATACGCAATTACTATCTAAAATTTTTGTGTTCTTTTTTGACATAAAATCTTTAAATTTACGTTCACTGGCATGTATATGGTACAAATCACCATAAATGCTTGTAGTTTTGACCCCGACGTTTTTTTAAAACTTTTCAGGCTTTTCGGAATGAAGTGACTGAAATAGTCTTAAGAATGATATCGGGAGCAATCGACGCAAGGAAGATGATAGACTCCTTGAAAGCCGTTCCAGCATTTTCTTATCAATTATTGATTAAATGTAATAGCTATTCGGGACGATAATTAGGCTAACAAGACCAGAGGTTATCATACAGCTATGATGGAAATCAACTAATTAGTTCGCAGGTTTCAATCGTAATCGTTACCACGGTTTGATTTACAAATACATCGACTCATGGCCGCAGACGTCTGACATTTGTCGAATTAGAAATCGTGTTTGCGCTGTTTTCCATGTTTGTATTTTTAATAAAGAAAATAAATAAATACAATCTTGGCAAATGAGTCAACACAATTCCTAACCAAGAGATAATTTGAATTGAAAATACCACGACGACCGGTTTGTGGCCTTCATGACTTCTGACAATTCAATGAAAGCGAACAAGCGCAAATCATACAAGCGCAAATCGTCATCGTTCTGTATTGTTTTGCTCTACCAAATAACTTCCAGCCTAATGATGTAGTTAGCTGGGTTATATAATGGCGTGGTTATTTTTACCCTGTGCCTCTAACCTGTGATGTCAACTTATATTAACAGGCTAACCACCAGATCGGTGGCTTTCAACTGGGTTTCCGCAACACCCTATATAGTGTTTCGCCAATAACGTTCAGGTGATCGCAAGTTTCCATTCATATACGTCTATATTATGAAATGTATATTGTATAAATATATTCAAATACTTCTTATCTTTGACCTTATTATTACACCTGCAGACGAAAATCAATTTTGCCAGTAATAGAATTGCTCTTATTTTTTTATAAGTTTATATAATAATTCCTCGAGGATCTGGATGATCGGAGTTCATAAAAAAGGTTGAAAATTAATGCACGCAATATTCTAAAAATTGTTTTGTACAGTTCTCTTATTATACATTTACATAGCATTGGTCAAATCTCGCTGTAAATGCATACTTATTCATACCTTTTTACCTCCCTCAGCGCAAGCCAAAAGCAATGGTGTAGTTGCGTCCTTGTCTCTTGCTCTCATATTTGCTCCCGCGTCAATCAGAATTCGCACTATGGAACGTTTATTGTAAAGGCATGCTAGATGGAGCGAAGTCATCCCTTGATTGTCAGCCATCTGGTAAAACATATCATAGTTGAATATCTTTTTATCTATTTTAACTGATATTATTTTGAACTTGTCAAAATTATCGAATCCATGAAATTAGAAGCATGCGGGGTCACTCTGTGAGGTACACGATTTCGTATAGACTGAAAATGTTTTTGGCGTTTATATTTTGCATAGTTGAAATCATTATCTAAAACCGAATGACAAGAACTGAACGTGCCAAGGTACTTATGATTGATGGGAGAATAGACTAGACAGTGATAAATTTAATTCATAATTTTAAATTACAAAATTTAATACTAATTACAACATTTTATTGATGCGGGTGTCTAGTGCACAAGACAAATTTCAGAAGGGCATCATAACAAAATGAAAAAATCTCTAGCTGGCGCAAACAGGAAAGAAAATCATGATACATAAAAACAACGAGACTAGACAATGTTTTGACCAGCACTTTTCACTGATTGCTAAAAACCAATCATCTTTTACCTCCATTCCTATTCCAGCACATTCGATCAATTCCCTGACAGCCTTCGTATTTCCTCTTGTGCAAGCATGATGTAAAGGTGTGAGTCCCATTGAGTCTTTGGCATTAATTTGTGCACCATTGTCAACCAAAAGTTTTAAACAACTAAATGTTTCTTCTGGAGGAAGTTCATCTTCCTCCGATTCAGAAGAGTCATCATCCTAAAATGATTTTTGCTCAGTGAAATGAGTTTTTATCGCAAATCTATTTACAGTTATTATACATTTTCAGATTCAGATATTTATTTTGTCGTGCATGAAATATTGTAACGACACAAATAAACAAATATGATAATAAACGATTAATTTAAATAAACAAATATACAATATTCCGCCAAAGACTACCAAAGTCAGCGACACCTTGTTTCAGTAAACTATTTGATTAAAATTTCGGACCAAAAAAGTTTTCAGAAGTTTTTTGATAACTAGTTGAAATTTCTCAAAAATATATCAGCATATTTATTTAACTTAAACTCACATCATTTCCTCCTTCTACCGTAATTCTTTTCTTTTTGTATTTGGCAAGAAAATGTAATGCGGTCGCACCGTCTTCAGCTTTGGCATTTGGATCTGGAACAAACAAAAAATATATATAACGGTAAATTTAACATCAATTTTACTGAATATTTCACAAAAAATTAAATATAGCGAAAGCAATACTATTAAAACATCAGATATAATTTAACTAAATTATCAATTTTTCATCAAAATATTCAGATAATAGTGTATTGTCTAGTTTAAATAAATTAGGGGAAAAAAACATGAATGTATGTAAAATCGGTTTTCCGATGTTATGGAGAATTGGTGCATCAAGAATTTTTTACGACAAACTTACACCTTGATAAATGCATGATTCTGCAGATTCAATGCCAAAATATCGAGTATACTTCATATATGAAGACACGCTGCCAATAATATTAGACATTTAATTTTGAAAAATTCTTCTTCTTACTTGCTCCGTTCTTTAATAAATACTGTAGCATATGATAATGTGTATATCTTGCAGCATAATGCAGCGGTGTGAGTTTGCTGTCATCTTTTGAATTTATTCGTTTTTTCCGTTGCTGATTTGTTTGGTATTTTTCCATCAAACGCTCAATGATGGCAACATCACCTTCTCGTGCAGCCTGTATCACACAAAAATATCCTGATATATTCTCATAGCTTTGTGCTAATCAATTAACTCTACGCCACCACATAAAACATTTCTTCTTCTTATTGTAGTTTTAATGGCTATTTAGACAGAAGTTTTTTCTTTGATTTTGGACGGCATAATGCTTAGTTTATGTGCTGGATTGAATTGCAGACATTTATTACAGATTATTGAAAAAATTTATCTTGTGTAATGAAAATTCATGATAGATATTGTATTGTTTATTTTTTTATATATCTTGTAAATTGTTTGTAATACAGAAGAAAAATTGATTCATTTTCACAAAATATTATTCGTTTTGCTCGATATCTGTGGCCATAAAGTTGTCATTTTATATTCTTTTTGCTGCAAAGTCATTATAGAATCAAGTTCAAACTACTCAATAAATATGTCACAATGATAAGATACAATGATATATTGTGACACAGTTTATTCATTTATCATCTTCTATATATAGTACGTGCTAAATCAATCGTCATTCAATATGTGGCTTGATTACTATAGAAGCACCATTCATTATTCATTATGTAAGATTCGAATCAGAACATTATTCTCATACCCTATTAAAACTGACCATCTCTGCCTAATAATATTACTCGTAAACCTTTGGAATACTTCAAATTTATTTTAGGGAACATAACACACCTTACTGGATAATTGTACTGTATTTAAAAGCTTTTTATCTTTATTCGCTGGTAATGATTCCGATACAATCCTATGAGCAACTCAAGAAATCTGCAATGGTCTTTGAGTTATGTTTAAATTTTCGAATTTGAGAACGTTTCTAAGTAATATTGTTTTTGCAAATCATCTAATATGTTGAGCTATTTGTCATAAACATCTCTCTATTTTGTCACAATATCGATATTTGTTATCCTGCTAATTTCTAAATATTTTGTTTCTTCAATTTCTGGTTAAAAATGACTCACCTGATGCACTGTGAGATGATTGAGGTCATATTGTGTCAGTCTGATTGCATCTGGAGAAAGAGTCTCCGTTTCATAAGCAGGATTATCAACGTCAGCTGCTAATCCACCGTTTTTTCTCGCGGCCAACTCCATTTTTTCACCATTAGACATGATGTCTATTTTGATATGATGAGATTTCCCTTGTCTTTATTATTGCATATGATGGTTTTTGTTTTATTTAGATAAATCTGAAAAGCATTTAGAACGTTGACATATAAAGAAATTCGTAATTAATAAAAGTCGATTTAAATGTGACTGAATGAATGTCCTTGTTTCCTATAATAAAATAATATACCGAGCAGAGTTTTCAAATTTTATACAATCAGACATTCTCGTATAATACAAATGCATCTGAATCTTGGCTAACAACTGATTTTACCTTTTCCTCAAACCACTGTTATGTATGACTTTGGCAAACCATTTGGCAAAAATAAATAAAATTTTGAGAGCAAATTATTTGGAATCAGATTAACATATACTATGCAATATTCATTTTTCTGTTTTTATGGACCATTAAAATGATCAATTCTACGTAACCCTGTTAATAAATTTGACTATTATGATTGACAATTCTGAAGCCTGGTATAAAGAAGTAAACGAGTTCTGAATAAAGCCATTCCAAATGCAACAAAATGTAATGCGAAGAGGTACTGTTGCATGTTTTCTTCGAAATATGAAGTCATCATAATCACTTCCGAAATTTGGAAATAAAACTGCAGAGCACTAGACTTGGTTTCGTTCCAGAAATCAACGTCAAAAATAATTACATATTGATTGTTAGTTGCTATGTCATATTTGTCAATACGGTCTAAATAACAAAGACAACCAAATTATCGTGGAGACAAGTTTTTTCATTGTTTTTTCTAAGTCTAAGTCGTTTTCTATAACCCAGTCATGAACTAATATAATGTGAAATGAAGTCAATTGCCGCATACTGCTACAAAGACATATTAACACATTATGCAAGCTTGCAATAAGACAAATTATATGTCTGTGAATAGAAATTGAAATCGAATACACGACCGTGACAGCGGGGCAGAGAGTTGGCACAATACTGTAATGGCCGAGATAATTATTGGACGATGTTCATACTATGAATGCCATTTCGTTACAAATTTTCATACTACGATGCTATCTGTATTGCCACAATCAATGAAATTGCAAAAAACAAATTGCAGAAATTAAACATGTATTTCATATTTTATAACAATTCTTCCTCGCAATAACTTTTTAACACACCAAAAGTCTCACTATAGATTCATGCAGAGTTGAATGCAGTGAATCTTTTCCATCCATATTATGGAAATTTATCATGAAATTGTCATTATTAATATGAAAACATATAGCCAATGAAAAAGATTTTTTTGTCGAATAAATAATCTGCCCATGCCTTATCGATGATCTAAATGTTAGAAGACGCGTATTTTCAACAAATCCTGTTTCAACATTCACAAACAAAATATTTCTGTAGTAAATTCTAACAAATACTCATTCACCGCCATAAATCACTAAATTTCTTTCAATATCTAATCTCTTGCTTGAAGCACTAATGCCCATCTCTGCGTGTGCTAATGCCAATTCACTTGGAAAAAGTAAACTTTCCAAATGAGAAAAGAAAGTCTTGATAGATATCTCCCATACCATTCCATTGGGTAACATTTACTTTCCGGGCGTGTGCCACAAAGCAAATATAAGGTCAGGTAACAGACTACCAGAATCATTTCAGGTCAGTTGTGAAGAAATAATGCTATTATAAATTTTGCTGATTAACCCAGCATTTAACGGTTATTTAAAAATTGAATTTAATATCATTCTGCAACATTGCATTTTAATTGTTGTTAAAATCATTTTTCAAATAGATACTCAGCAATATAATGATATATTTAAGCTTTCAAAATCGAAACCTCATATTAATAGGTAGACGTTTAACGATTACACCACTAACTACCAAGCTTAAATTTGTTGAAATATTTTTAATGCTCGCTGACACTAGAAATTACGCTTACGGATAAAATTGTTAAGAAACGTTACTGCGTTCTATAGTTTCAGACTGCACGGTATATGACATTATTGAAACATCATCACGTTGTCAAAAGCATTCAGGGCAATTAACGGATGAACGTATGACAGCAAATATTCGAAATGCCAAATTACCGGTAACCTTTGGTTGTGAAAGTTAGAACCGAATTAGACAAAACCTATACTATAACAAAATCTACGCAAAAGATACAAGACCAAGAAATCAGTTGGAAGACCTTCGCGTTTATAGCCTACACATTATTTTCATCGCACATGACAGATAATAAAACAGGGCTGCAGCACGGTACTTAACTTCCAAGGCTTAGTAAGTGAGACGGATAGGACATAATTCAATATTTCAAATCGGTTATTTTGTATTTCAAAATGAGATTGTATAATGTTCGATCGTTTAGTTCATCAAAAAATATCACATTAAATTTTGATTGTGAGTTGAATTATTTTATAATCAATCATGTATAAACCACCCAATTTCCACACTTTGATATTTGTATATTTGTTATCGATGACTAAAATATGGTCTACGCCTTCATCGAACTTACTTAGTACTTTGTTTTAAAAATATAAATGTGCACTTCATACAATTCGTAAATTGTTGATGCACTCGTTTTATTTCTCTGTGTTTGCCAATAACTGCTTTGAACAAGTATTTTAACTGCAGTATTTATAGCAACTAGGGCAGTTAGTTAACTTGGTAATAAAATTGTCCAGTTTACGATTTGCTGCAACAATACTGGAATGTGTATTCAACATCTTAATGTATGCCATGCATGATTCAAAACTACATCGCAGCGTAACATACAGGGTAATAAATATTACAGTCATCTGTTAAGAGTTAGAGCGAGTGCACAGGTTTTTGCAATGTTCATGATTGGTAGTGCTAGGATGACCACCAACTTATTTATTTTTCAATTGCAGTTATTGGCCCTTTTCATTACTGCTCCGTTTTGCTGGAATTTTATATCAATAAATACAGGCATCGATTTCAATACATCCACTCGACATTCAATTTTAGCATATTCAAATTTATCTGCCATTTATAACTATTATTTGATATGTGGGAATATTAAAAAAAAATTGAACAGAACCTAATAATGAGAATTATTCAGAAAACATTGTCCGGTATTCCAATTCTTCTCTAAAGTATGAATACACCAACATCTGTTTTTTTGTATAAAAATATTTGATTTAGGAACTCAAACTCCATGTCTTTATCAAAGCATACTCGACATCTAACCTTGGATCGAAGTGTGATGTACATTTAGCTATGAACCTTCTTGACACTTTCAAACAAGATTTTATTTAATTGATTAAAATTTGTTCATTTCAATGGTATTTCAAAATAAAATCTAACCACAAAATAAACTTTCTTGACCTTTATTGAATGTCATAATATTTTCTCCCCTTGAAAACTGCAAACACTTCAAAGTATCACGATGACAGCGGGAACAAGAACATTTCGGACTAGGAGGAAATCAATTAAAAATATCATGACCTGCCACTATAAGATGACGTCGCGTAAAAGAATATTGAGACACGATATGTGACACAAATCATAACACAGGAAATTCAGTAGCCTATTGATATTCTCAAAAACTCATAACAATTTTTTCAATTAATTAATCTAATGATCACGTTTATGTGATATGGGCACATGTAGTTCTAGTTCTAGTATCTTTGCTTATTCAAAACATGAAATTTTCAAATATGAGCTGTGAGGTAGATACTGTTATTGGTTACATAGAAACTTCATTTGCAGTCAAGTACTTAAGTTCATCTATTATTCGATTTCTATCATCAAACCAACTAACTTTGAGTTTTAAGAACTCCCAGTAAAATAAACATTTTCTTTTCTCCTAACAATAATCCTGCATCCAAATCGATTGATTATTCCCATCATATCTCCAAAACGCAAAATATCCTACAGCTGGAAAAATAGCCATATGATTGAGATGTCTTATCCGACTTTATATATTTAAAATAAGTAGTAGCCTCAAAGTTAGTAGTTGATTCAAACTCAGAACTTTTAGACGTTTTGCAAGGGACAAATGAAGCATTCGGAACAACATATAAAGATTTGAAATTTTCACAAATCTACATATTTAAACTAACTGAAGACCTAACGATTCATTAAATCAAATGCGGATATCAACATAACATATTCTTTCTGTGGTTCAAGATTGCATCAAGGTCAAAGACATTGCAATAAATGTAAACATTGAACACTCTATCGTGATGATCACAAATTCCTGTGAACATTCTTCCCAAGATACCAAAGCTTGAAAAATATGGCGCATACAACTTGCATACTTTATCAAGTAATGCATCTAGAGATCATAATATTAATCCGCTTTAATCGATCTTCCATTGGAATTTACAAACTCAAGTTGAACCAACGGTCATCGGCAATGCATGCCATGATTACCGACCACGATTCTTAATCGTGTTCAGTAAGAGTTGCAACCAGTCGCATTTGGTGAACTCCTGAATGAAAATTAAAGCAGTGAACCGATTTTATCGAAAACCGAACAAAATGTTTCCGTTAGACTTTTACATTCCAAGGTTGGACACACTCCAAAGACAAAATATTGCTGCAAGCTATTCTCCACGCGGGTTTAGATTTTAAAAATCTAGTTAAAGTTTTTTCTCGGACAAAAATGAGAACCTCAGCTAATTTAATACGGAACAAACTTACTACCTACAACCTTCCACTGTTGTTAAGTAACTCATACTGAGTCCGTTATCGTCCATAAATTTGACAATAAACTATGTATAATATTACTAAAATACAAAATAAAATTTTAATAAAATATAGTACACGTTACGCTGTGTTTTTAGATATTGAAACTGCGCCAAGCTAGAGATGTTTTTATTTACTTATCTGCTGTATAATCTGCGAGCACTCATTGCGAGCTATACTCTTCTCAATGTTTCAAAAAAATTTAAACTTGATATGGAATTCCGGCTACAGAAGGTGAAAGATCGAAAATACAATCAAATTGTTACAGGAAAGGACAAAACAAATTATGAAACAAAGTTTAAAAGTCAACTATTATGGAAAAAAAATTATTGACTATACTTAAACTTGCTAACGGCTATTCTTCACAACTAGAAATGATTAATTTCTTATCAATTTTGCAAAATAATTTTG